GGTTGCCCCACTCAGGTGAATGCCTAAGGCTCCACCCCTTACAATGTAACAGGTGTGCCGAGACAAAAAAAAAGTGGTCCAAATGAAAGAACAGATCAAAGCTCAAAAAAAAAAAATACAACTAAGTGACATAGAGATAGCCAACCTATCAGGATGCACAGTTCAAAACACTGGTAATCAGGATGCTCACAGAATTGATTGAGTATGGTCACAAAATAGAAGAAAAAGTGAAGGCTATGAAAAGTAAAGGAAAGGAAAATGTAGAGGGAACCAACAGTGATGGGAAGGAAACTGGGACTCAGATCAATGCTTTGGAGTAGAATGAAGAAAGAAACATTCAACCAGAACAGAATGAAGAAACAAGAATTCAAAAAAAAAAAAAATGAGGAGAGGCTTATGAACCTCCAGGACATCTTTAAAGGTCCCAACATCTGAATCATAGGGGTGCCAGAAGGAGAAGAAGAAGGGCAAGAAATTGAAAACTTACTGGAAAAAATAATGAAGGAGAACTTCCCCAAACTGGCAAAGGAAATAGACAGACTTCCCCAATCTGGCAAAGGAAGTCCAGAAAGCTCAGAGAGTCCCAAAGAAGTTAGACTTAAGGAAGTATACACTGAGGCCCATCATAATCACATTACCCAAGATTAAAGATAAGGAGAGAATCTTAAAAGCAGCAACAGAAAAGGAGACAGTTACCTACAAAGGAGTTCCCATAAGACTATCAGCTGATTTCTCATATGAAACCTTACAGGCAAGAGGGATCTGGAAAGAAGTATTCCAAATCATGAAAGGCAAGGACCTACATCGAAGCTTACTCTATCCAGCAAAGCTCTCATTTAGAATGGAAGGGCAGATAGAGTGCTTCTATCACCAAGCCCTTATTATATGAAATGTTAAAGGGATTTATCTAAGAAAAAGAAGATGAAAAATATGAACAGTAAAATGACAACAAACTCACAGTTATTAACAACCAAACCTAAAAAAAAAAGGCTAAGCAAACAACTAGCACAGGAACAGAATCACAGAAATAGAGATCACATGGAGGGTTATCAGCAGGGGAGGGGAAGGGGGAGAAGTTACAAGGGATAAGTAGCATAAATGGTAGGTAACAAATAGATAGGGGGAGGTTGAGAATAGTATAGAAAATGTAGAAGCCAAAGAACTTGTACATATGACCCATGGACATGAACTAAAAGGGGAGAATGCAGGTGGCAGGGTGTATACAGGACAGAAGGGAATAAAGGGGAGGAAATGGGACAACTCTAATAGCATAGTCAAAAAATATATTGAAAAATGAAGAAGGCACCAACTTGAGTCTATATAACAAATTATTTTTTAAATATTTTATTTTAGAGAAAGGGGGAAGGAGGAAGAAAGAGTAGGAGAGAAACATTTATGTGCATGAGGAATATTGATTGGTTGCCTCTCACATGCCCCCAACTGGGGACCTGGCCTGCAACCCAAGCATGTGCCCTGACTGGGAATCGAATCAGCAATATTTTGGTCTGCGGACAGCACTCAATCCACTGAGCCACAACAGCCAGGGCGATGTAACAAATTTTACTAAATAATTCTTTTGTTAGTTTCCCCTATATATTTACCTTCCCACAATTTACACTGCTTCCTTTGTCTAGTCATTTCACAATTTATCACTGTTTGTTAAAATGGGATATGAGCCCCCCACATCTAACCATTTCTTTGGGTTTTCTCTTCTTTCTTGTGAAGTCCCCATATGTGTATCATATGAACTGTTTCTTTTGTTAATCTCTCTTTTGTTAGCCTGGTGGCCCCAGTCACAGAACCTAAGAGGGTAGAGATAAAGATCCTTTCCCTTCCCTATGATCTCTATAATGGAGAGTCTCATATCCGCCCCGGAGAATTAGCCATAGTAATTAAATAAATGTGGAATGTTTGGCCCATAGAAGAATTTGGTAACTTCAGCAATGGTGATAAAGAGAGTGAAATACTGCCTACTTCATTTTGCCTAAGTGAAGTAGGCTTCATTCTTTGCCTACTTCACTTAGGCAAAGAAATGCGGATACCAAGAGGGTTCACAGATAATGATCGTTAAAAGATTAGCCTCTCTGTTATAGCTGGACTAAAGATTCCTTCACACATGGAAAGTATATTATCAATGATTTTGATTGTAGGTTTGAGACAATTATAGTCCATTTTTTCACAAATTCAGTTTGAAAGGGAATCTCTAAGGCTGTTGTTCCCCTTGAAACTGGCCTCCCAAGGCAAAATGACAGATAAAACCAGATTTGAATTGTGGTGTATCCACTCATCAGGAAGATTCCATTTCCTTATCATTAAAAGAGGGATAATTTTAGCTCCTTCTCATTCTGACAAATAATGAGATAGTAATATAAGAAAAGTGGCCAGTGCTATGCTTATCATATAGCACATATTCAATAAATGCTAGTTATTTGTTATTATCATCATGTTCTTTGTCATAATAATTAAAGATGATGGCTATAGGCCAATGAAGACAAATAAAAGAAGAGCAATAGATGCCAGAATTGGAAGGAAAGGGAGAATAATCAGAATATTAAAATCAAAACTATCCCAAAAAATAATAGTAAGATGCATTGACAGAGGAACAAAGGGATACGCAGATGGGTAAAATGTGATAAAGTGCTTAAAATAAAATGTTAGTGGTAGAATCTAAGTAATGTGTTTCACTATAAAATTCTCTCAAGCTCACTATATGTTTGAAAAACATTCACAGTAAAATGCTGGCAAAAACTCAAGGCTACCATCCCTCCCTCCTTCTAATCCTAATTTTATCATACCTCCCCCCAGACACTCAATGGCAAAGGATGTTTGATTGTCCTTGTGTCTTGATATTTCACCTAGAAGGGAGAACTTAAAATTCACCTCCTGGCCTAAATTTCAAGCTGTCTTTGTGAATGTGATTCAGTCCCTTCCCCTGAGATTCATACTTGTTATTTCCTGCTGGTCCAGCTGACAGCTCCAATTTACACATACCCGCCACCAATTTCACTCCCGTCCCAGAACCCCCCTCCCACTCTGTTTCTCTCAAGCCCCCAACTCCCAGAGGCCAAACAGCTTCACACTCAGAAACTGCGAAGTCAGAACCTGGGATTGAAAGCCCTGTTTTCAGGACATTTGGACCGCCAAACTCAACTGCAGCTTTCTCCTGTTGCTATGACACAGGTGACCCCGTGAATTCACCAGCCCGGAAACTGACAGACAGGGATCAGTGTGCACTGGTTGCCATGGTGAGGAGGGACCTGATGAGGATTTCTGCGTGTCCACTGGTGCTTGGCCTGTCAGGTGCCCAGAGCTGCAAGAGGGCGCTAAAACCCCCTCATGGAATCATTTATTACCATGTAGGCCGGACTCCAGTGTGCACACTGGTCGGGGGGCGCTTCGCGAAGGAGATTGGGAGGGAGAGGAGAAACCTACCTGGGGCCTTTCAGAAACCTACAAAATGTAGTATTTCAAGCAAATTCTGTATTTTTTCACCAATTCCATACCTGCATTTAGTTTTCTTTTTTAATTTTTTTTTCAATTACAGTTGATATTCAGTATTATGTTAGTGGTAGGTATACAGCATAGTGGTTAGATATTTATATAACTTACTAAGTAAACAAATTCTGTATTTTTGAAAGACTTGTTCCTGTTCTTTTTTGAAGGACAGTTTAATTAAATCTAGTTAGAAATGTTAAACTTTGGGCAATCAGCATCCTCTACACCAGTATTTGTCAAAATGCTGTCCCCAAACTATCAAATTAGAATCTCTGTAACTGCAGTTTTAACAACATCCCTAAGGTCCTAAAGTTTGAAAATTACTGCTCTCTTGCAGCTATTTAACCTGAAAGTCTCCTGACAAAACAACAGTTCTAGCCAGGAGCACCCAAACTGTTCTCTATTCTGGATCCTTTGCGTCATGTTCTCCTACCCCATGGCACCCCAAGAGCCATGCTCTTTGAAGGATATTTGTCTACCAAACAAACTGCATGGGTTGAATAATAATGCTTCCCCCTTTTTATCTAAGGCCTATATAAACCAAATCTGATTGGCAAAGAGCAGTGTTAAGATACTACATTGGTAAAAGTTCCATTCAGATCAAGGAGAACTTATCTGTCCACACAGCCTCAGCTCAGGTGCATGTGTATTGCTCATTAGGCCTTTGGAGAAAAGAGAATAGTCCACTGCTCACCTGTGCTACTACCTTCGCAGACACTTAGCAATCAGGGGCATCCCAAATTGGGATCTCCAGAAAATGTGAAAGAACTCCATGGCATCAAAGAGTTCATTTTGAGAACCTGACTTGTATCAAACAGAAACAATGATAAGATATCTTCCTCCTTCTAGTGAATGTTTACTTTTTTATTCCTTCATTTACTTATAACTGTTCCTGCCTCAGGATGGGCTTTAAAGTTCACAAAGATCCACTAAATAATCCAAATTACAAATAAACATACCACAACCCACTACTTGTTTTCTAATAGCCCATTTCACCTTCCTCCTCTGTACTGAGACTCCTCATTTGTAGCTGAAATACATGGCTACCCACATTTACCAGCTGTGCTTATAGCTAGACAAAGCCATGAGAGTAAGATATGGTTGAATGGATGTAAATGGAAGTTGCATGTTCAACTTCTAAGAAGTATCCTTAAAAGGGAGGATTGGTTGTGTCCCTTTTCTTTCCCAGTCTCCTTCCTGCTGATGGATGCAGACATGATGGTGGGAGCCAGAGCAGCCATCTTGTACCATGAGTTGAAAGGTGGGTGCTGAGGATGTGAGAGGAACACATTAGAAGTCTGGGTTCCTGATGATCATGGAGCTGCTGTTCCAAACTTGGACTACCTACCCAGGATTTTACCTAAGAGAAAGTGAAGCTTCCATCTTATTTAAGCCACTGGTATTTTGGGTTTTCCATTCCTCAGAGCCAAATCTATCCTGGCATGGCAGTGAGGCGGAGGGGGAGAGGGAGACATACTGAGTCAGAAATAAACTTAACACAAAAATATATGCCACAAAGTCTTTATTTTTGCCATGAATAACTTGCAAATTTAGCTCCAAGCTTTCTAGTGGTTAATGTGACAGTAAAACTTCTAAGGACACAATTCTCTGTGTTTATTTTTTTAAAAATTTTTTTTTAATTCCCAAGGAGAAAAACAACTGTTCCTGATGGTATGAACAAATTGATTTATCCTGAATCTTCAGAAAGAGAACATCCATCACATAATTAAACAACAATTGCAACAACCTCCTTACAGTAGAAATGATGTGTTTCATCATGGTCTTCAACCTAGGTTGGGAGAATCAAAGTGTAGGTCATTTGAAATTGCCCTGTGTGCTGGTTTATGTAGCATGCTAGACTGAATACTCCCCATCCCATTCCCCACAAACACTAGCTTAGGCAGGGCATAGAGAGGCAACTGGTGGGAGGATAATTTGCTTTAAAAAACCAACTCAATTCACTTCCAAGTTGTGTACCACCAGCACCAGTATGACCACCCCCAATGAGAAATGGGCAGAATTGATCTGTTCTCCCTTCCTCATACCCCGTTCAATCCTTAATTTTATGATTTATTTTCTTCTTCAGAAACTGTGTGTGTGTGCGTGTGTGTATACTGGGGGAGGAAATCAATGTGCAATTTTTTTCTACTTCTGGTTTCTGTAAAATTCAGCTATATAAGGCACACAGTTACCCATAAAACACAGATACCAAAAATGTAAATATTTAACCTATGGGTCATGTGTCCCAGTTGTGAATACAAAGTGATGAAGATCAGCAATTTATATCTCATAAAGGAAACCAAAATGATTTCCAATGCACCATTGCCTTGCCAGGTGCAACAAGCCAGGTATCCATGAAGACTTGGGATACATTTTCAAAATCTCCAGTGAGAGGCTTACTGATGGTCCTCAGGTCTGCTCTACAGCACTGATTCTACAGCACTCAAGCAGGATCTTGCTCTCCAAAGACTTGCTAGTCAAACGTGGCTCCCTTTCTGGATTTATCCTGTTAAAGGAATGGATTGTGAGAGCAGTGTGTGGGAAACTGGTGAACATGCACTACCTAAACCAGACGATTATATACTTTGCCTCCAATGTGGTCCCTTCATACTTCATGGCTAGGGTATGTTAAGGTATGCTTCCCTATAACTCAGCATTGGCTTGGAGTAAAGAAGGGCACATTGCTTTTTGTTTGGTTGAGTTTTACCCCAGCATTACTCAATTTCCTGGTGCTGATGTTGCACTGACATTGGCAGAGCTGCCTGAGACCCAGTCATTCCAGGTACCTCAAGTCCCTCCAACACAGAGCACAAAGTGAGGTCCTCTCTGTCCTTTAGAATGGCTGAACATCTTCCCCCCACACACACACACCGCCCCTTCTAATTTAAATTAACTATGCAACTCACGTAGCTACCAGCCAAAATCTCAAAACTTTATCACATTGGTCTAGTTGTTACTCCCAGTGGTCCAAAGCCACCTTTTCATTTATATATTGAATTCACAAACAAATTCATTTTCCACACATGGAATTCCTCATTAGGATCAGCTTTGTTTGAAATTGTATAGCAAATGAGGAAATGAGAAGATTAGAGAACATCAGTAATAGCAACCGCAAATAACTTTTGAATCAGTCTGGATATTTCTCTCTAGAGTCGTTCTTCTCTTCCATTTAGGAAATAGAATTTTACCTGCCATTAGCAATAATCTCAACGGCATGCATAATAATAGTAATAATAATAATTTTTTTAAATGTCAATCAACATCTGTGTAGATTTTTTCAATACAAAATGCTTTCATTGTACTATCACCTCCTTTGATTTCGCTTTATCTTCTTTGTGTGCAGTAAGTAGGTGTTTTCGCTTTATTTCACAGACACAGTGCAGAGAGGTGCATAGTGGGGACCACTTCCTTAGGTTTGGGTCTTAGTTCTACCACGTATCACCTCAGTAATCTTGGACAAGTGACATAATATCTCCAAACCTCAATAATTTTCATTGATTTTTTAGATAAAGAAAGGAAGGGGGAGAAAGAAAGAGAGAGAGACATCAATTTATTGCTCCACGTATTTATGCATTCATTGGTTGCTTCTTGTATGTGCCTGAACAGGGACCAAACTCGCAACCTTGGCATATTGGGATGATGCTCTACCCAACTGAGCAACTTGGCCAGGGATGAATCTCAATAATTCTATACAACGAGGGCAAAAATAGCACTTACCACAGACAGATGCTGTGATATGCAGTAACAGGCATGTAACAACCTTGATAATATGCTGTAACTATTAGCTGAGAACAGAGGTGTGGGTTGGTCTTCCCAAGAACAAACTGTTTAATATGCAGAACCAGGAAGAATCTTGCCTCTCAACTCCAGATCTGAGGCCTACCTGAAGCAAGAATTGATTTAGGAACAGAACCCAGATCAGACATTTCCAACACTTTACCTTTCACCATTTCTGTCATCCCATCAGCTTTGGAACCACTGTTAAACAATGAAAGTATCACTGACTCTCCTTTGGGGCTAGGGTGCAATGCAAATATTTGATGATCAGTGGAAGAGTCTGTAATGAATAGAATCCACAAAATTGGGCTTGGAATCTTGAAGCCTGGAAATGCCTATCACAGACTGCTCCTTCACACTCCGGCTCGGCCCAGGGCGGCCAGCATGCTTAGGGGACAATGCACAATGTTTATGTCCACAGCTGGCCACAAGGTGGCAGGATATCACCAGCAAGGATGCTCAAGCCCCAGCTTCACAGCTGGAGCAAATCAGGCGAAGGCACTGATTGGTGTCTGACACCCAAGATGACAAACTGAAATATTCCAATTAACATCAACCCTAAACCTAAATGAGTGCCAAATTCTGCAAATGCCACTCTTCTGCCTAAATGCTCAGCTCTTATTTAAGAGAGTACGATGGGCACCTCATCATTCCACGCAAACAAAAAGGAACTTTAAGGTGACCGTGAACTTAAACCAACCCAAATGACTACTTCTATTTGCATGAATTCCAATTTTTCAATGTATAAAGGAATTGCAAAACTCTAGGTATCAGGATCAACCCTCCAGAATCTCCAGAACTTCCTTATCATATTTTCTTATAAAGATGAAAATATCTTTTAAAAATAGTCAAATTTAAACTTTCCATATAACTCAATTCCTAAAAACATTTTAAAACCTGGGTTTTCCTACCAACCTTCTTTCTAAGCTATCTTCTCTCTATTACTCCTTACAAAAATGAGTGTTTACAGATTTTAGAATAATGGTATACAAGGTTTCACATAGACTCGTATTTCTTTAAAGTCGGAAGGTAACTTGCAATCACGTGCTTTAATGGCCGTGTCTTCCCCAGAGAGAAATGAGCATCATGCTGGAAGTCCATTAACTTGCCTAAGATAATGCAGAAAGCCAGTTCAGAACGGAGACCCAAACTTTTGTTACCTGACTTTCAGGTTAGTTTGGACTAATGTTTGATCTTTTATTTAACTATGTTAGGAAATTCATGATTTTCCTTTACCCTATCATAGCAATTTTCACCAAGTGTGCCACAAGAACTTTAAAATACATAATACCGTACTATTTTATTCAGGGCACTGACCTCTTTTCCCTTAGATCGTCAGTTTAAAAAATGACAACAGCCAACACAGTAACTGTCTGATGTGAGTGAATCTAAATTATACCTTTTTTTTTGTCAGATCAACAAAAAATATATTTTGTGGTATGCCGCAAAATTTTAGTAGTTTGTGTGTGCCATGAGGTGAAAAAGGGTGAAAATCGATGCCCGGTAGCTTACAGAAACACTAGCGAGGACAGAGAATATCAGCCCAGCAGCATGCTATGTGATTACAGTGGTTTAACTGGCTCTGTGTTAGTTAGAAAGTAAACCATGGGTCAATAACTATCTGAGAAGCATCATGATTCTCCAATAGTAAAGCAAAAAAAAAAAAAAAAATCCAGGACTAATCTTTCCAGAACCTGAAAAAGAACTTGCTGGATCACAGCTACTTGATTAGGATACGAGACTGAATAAAATTCAGACAGAAGGAGCAAAATGCCTTTCCCTGCACTCCGGAGACCCTGAGCCCTGTCTCAACAAGGTGTGATGACAAAGTAATGCGTCAGATGTTAAAAGAAACACGACCAGCGCTTTCTAAGTGAGCCCTGTGTCCTCCACAGCAGTCATCTTGGGAAGCTGTGTATTTGTGCCAGCGATGCTGCAGCAGCTCAAGCATTAACTCTTCCCCAGGATTTGCCTTCAGAGCTTTAAGCGTGTTCTGCCAGCTCTGTATCCCAGCATAAACCTTGGTCGTGCAAGGGTGCAGTTGTTTCTGGAAAACTTGCAGAGTCAACTCTTGGGGAAAATGTGGGTGGTCAAGGCAGGTAACACTTTCGAATAAAACTTAATTGCATGAAACAAATACCATATGATCTCACTTATACGTGGAATCTAATGAACAAAATAAAATGACAAACAAAATAGGAACAGAGGCATGGGCATATGGAACACAGTGACAGCTATCGGAGGGGAGGGGGGACTGGGTGAAAGAAGGGGAAGGGATGAGCCAAAGAACAGACACACGTGACCCATAGACAGAGACAACAGTGTGGTGCTGGCCTGACGGAAGAGGGGGGATGGGTGGAGGCAGGCAAATGGGGAACAAATAGGGACATCTATAAGAGTGTAAACCATAAAAATAAAGTTTGGGGAAACTGAATTGCATATAGTTGTTGGGTTGATTTCCCCTCTGGCTTATAAATTGCACTATATGGCTCATCTAGTGGAATAGATTCACCTTCATGGAGACAGTCAGGAAAAACCTTAAGCTCTTACTAACACTACCTGCATCACTGACTTCTAAATAAAAGCTTCTTAATTCCAGGCCTTAATCATTTTGCATCTACTGATAAATTAATCTTCTGTTTCCCAATTCACATCTAAACTGTTATAAGAGAAAGACCACTTACCAGATGGAAATCTATGAAATTGCTGCCATTTCACCATCGCTGACCTATAAAAATCATACAGTTAATTTGACATCTTAATATGTTGCATTTGACATCAGAGTGTTCTGGCACAGTGGTGAAAAGGAGAAGTCCAAGAGCGGTCATTACCATCGCTGTGCTGAGACGGGCAGTTCCGAATGTCAGCAGTGCATTTCCAGAGAATGTACCAGGTATGATGCTCCACAGCCAGGTTAAACATCCGTCTGCCGCGGCCAGCGAGGCAGTGGGTTCGAGACGTGCAGTGACGGACTGAAAAGAGAGAGCGACCAGTTGCTCTGGTGGCAAAAGGCAAGTTTATTGAGAGCTCATGTCATTATATAGTGAGATGTTCTAAAAATAGAATGCTTGCTACACGATGAGAGTCTTTGTTCAAGAAAGTTTACACACCCCTTCAGGTCACGTACAGAACATCCTGGTTTAGATTAACTCCAAGGACACGACGCACAGCCCCAAGGCTGTGCCGGCACCTCCCGTCCTTCTCTTGGGAACAATCCGATAACACACAAGGCCGGGGTAGTGTCAGGTCACCTCCCCCGAGGCCAAGGAACAGGCCCAAGCATCATTCTCACAATGCAGGACCCTAACTCTTGACCCCTTCCTGGGGGCTTGGTTCCCCACATCCGTCTCCCTCCTTGGTAGTTCTACTTTTTATGCATTTAAGTTTTGTTTTTTGGTGTGTTTTTTTTTTTTGGCGGGGGGGAGCGGTGAGGGTGTTTTTTGTTTGGGGGTATTTTTGGGGGGTTTTTTTGTGAGGTTTTTTCCCCCCAATTTAAACAGCACCTCTAAGGGCAAAAAGGTCTGCCAAGCACGCCAACAAGAAGGCTTTCGCAAACAGGGCTGCTCTGTAAGAAGCAGCAGTCTCAGTCTAAGGAATAATAATCTACAGGTCGTGGCCATGATCCACATATCTGGAAACATGTTTGCTGGCCTGGTCCTTCTAGGTCCTGGGACTCAGCTAAGCAGGAGGATGATCTGATTTTCCCTTGAACCGATGTCACTAAGGAGCAGAGTGACTCTTGGTCTTTCCCCCTCCCCCCAGGGCAGATGCGACCCTGCACATTGGGCCTGAAGTCACTGGGCAGCAAGCCGTCTTTTCCTTCTGGCTCTTCTTCACTTCCTGTTTGATTCTGGTTTTCCTTATCCTAAATTTACCCTCAAAATGTGATTGAAGAAGCTGCTCCACCGCCTAATCCTTTGAATCTTCAGGAGGTGCCACCCAACATCTCTAACCTGCGGGAGAAAGGACCCATGGTTAGAGCACAGAGCTTTCTGGCTCTGATTTCAGTGTGAAATGCATTTAATGTTGGGATGGAAAAGTGTGTGCCATCTATCTGCCACCTATCTTACACAATACTCTTGTCAGGGAAAGTGTCGACTAAGGGAAAATCACTGATAAACCCTGGCCCTGAGGAATACGCAGAGCCATCAAGATGCTTGAAGAAGTGTTTCTCGTCTAGAACAAAGCAAGGACGGAGCAGAAACAGGCTCCCCCCACCTGCAGCCTCCCCCTTCCCGTGAGCCTGCCCTGCCCCTCCATCTCCACAGTCCACTCCTCCAGATCATCGTCGGTTGGAAGTCACTCTGCACATTCAGTTTACACTGTGACCAATTTTAAACTGTTCACCAGAGTGAGCCTCCACGTGAAAAAGTGGGGTTACGTGGTTGTGAGATTAGGGACTCTGCTGGGGTCTGCCTGAGAAGCCCCAGGCACTCAAGGGAGGTGTTCACACGTTCTGTGTGTGTGTGTGCACGTGTGTGCGTGTGTGTTCACGTGTGTGCATGTGTGTGTGCATTATCCCACAAGGAGCTGGACTGACCCAGCTTCTTGGGCCCTTTGCATTATTGCTGCTTAGAAATGTATGTCTTTAAAAAAAATAAATAACCCTTTGTGATTACAAAGCAATATTTTTTAATATTAAAAAATTAAATCATTGTGAAATACGTACACGTGCCAATCCATCACATTGTATACCTTAAACTTACACAATATTCTATACCAGTTATATCTTAATAAAGCTGAGGGGGGAAAACAGAAAATCATCAATAAGAAAAAAGGAAAATTAAAACATCATATTCTTATCCCCCAAAGTTACTACAGTTGCCCTCCACACTTATCCCAGGTTATCCCGGGCTATCTTTCCACACTTCCCTCTAAGCACATGTATTTATCATATATGTGTGTGTATATATTGATATATATATATATATCTCAGTATATGATTATTCATCTTTCCATGTCAATTCATTTTCTTCTAATCTAACACTTTTTATATCCCCTCATTGTTCCCAAAATGTATATTATTGTTAGTTTAGTTAAATCAGTATCCAGTCCAGAACCATGCGTTATATTGAGTTATGTTCCTTAGAGTTCTTTTACATTCATCTGTTACGCAGAGAACAGGTCAATTGCTGGGCCTAGGTCCTGTCCTCTGGATCTTCTGGACTGATTTGCCTTGTTGCTTCCTCAGACTGTCTGTCATTCAGCTTGTTCTCCCATCTCCACATTCCCTGTAAGCTAGAAATTAGATCCAAAGGATTCTTGCAGTCTTGGCACCCTCTGTTTTCCAAAGTAACTGATAGGCATTAAGGAAGCCTGGCATAAACTCGTCAGCCCTGGGGACTTGGCTGAGACTAAACAGCTGGTAGAGTCAGCACGGGTCTTCTGCAAAATTTTTTTTCCCCCTGAGGAGCTTGTTCATGGGAGATCATCCAGGATTCTGATTTCTCTTTTAACACTCATTAGTCAAAGTGACAATGCCGGGCTCACAAGCGCAGGTTCTTCAGAAAAAAGACATGAACGTAATCCTCCCCAGACGAGCCTGATCTGAGTTCCCGCTTCAGCTGCAATCCCATGCGCTGGGCATTGTCACAGCAAGTGGGCAACAGCAGGGGCTGACCCACCTGCCCCCCTACCACCGTAGTCTCACTCTCCATCCTGCAGACAATGACTCTGTGACAGTTCTCCATGCAGTCAGGTTGTTTGTGGAGCTATGGTTGCTGAGTTCACAGTTACCTAGGGAATATGGAATGGGGCTTTCTCAGGCACAGGCACCATCAGGAACCACCGGTGGGAACAAGGGTTAGAGACCCATGGGCGATCTGGTGGTCTTGAGAGCCATGCCTGGTACACATTGTACAGCTTGCTCTTTCAAGAAGAGAGTGACACAATATTTAAGATTTCAGGGAAAAAAAAACAGCATTTTTCAACCCTATGAGCAAGTACAACTGGAAAGCCTCAGAAGGAAGTTGCTGGTGAAGATGTTTGCCTCTGTGCCCCTGAGCAAAACATTCATGGGAGAACTCAGAGCCAAGGTGTCTCTGTTGGAGACTGCCAGGATGGCCTGATTTCCAGAACAATAACAAAGATGTGCAATTAACCTGGATACAGCAAAGTGGCCCAGGACATGGAAGAGAAAGAAAGTAAAGATCACACACCCAGAGGCCACACACAAACACGCACGTACAGTGCCAGAACTTGGCCTCAAGCACACATACAGATTTAGACAGTCCAGTTCAAGTGAAACTTTTAGGGCAGCTCCGATAAGTCATTCCATCTTTCTTACCATATAGAAAGAAGATTTGAAAGGGCTCCTGGGACCACTTACTTGGTGAGCGTCAGACTGCAGGAGCCTTCTGAGTGCTCCGAGCCAACAGGGAGTTCTTTGCATGGCTGGTAGACACACAGCCTTTGGCCGGACGGAAACTCAATAACTCCGAATAATCCAACCAGGTAAATTTCCCCCTAATGGACATCAAGTTGAAACTTTAAAGCTAAAACAGCATGGTATTTAGAAAAATGGGTCCTAGAGGCTAGTTCTACCTGCTGCTTCATCTCTGGGAAGGCTCCCCTAGTCTCTGCTTTTAGTGCAAGAAGCTTACACAACCAGTTCAGCAGGCAGCGTACCTGCTGCCCGGCCAGCAGCCCTCATTAGCTGCCTCTGACCTATTGAAAAGCTGAAAATAGAGCCTGGGGCCATTTTCTCTGCAGCTCAACTCTTAGAATCCCCTGTCTTTCTAAATATTAGCAGCATCCCAGTAACACCATCATTTTTTAAAAAGTACTTGTCACCCTTTGCTTTTTTAACACCCCTGACTACCACACTACTTTTCTTTAGAAAAAAAAGCTTTTTAAGTTTAAAGTGACTTTCTTTTTATTTGCTTTTCTCCCAGTGTAGCTAGGGATGCCACTTCTTTTCCTCGATGGCTTTTATACTTGGTTTAAAATCACCTGGAAAAACCAGTAGGGAAGAATGGAGTATTTCTTTAGTTACCCATTAGCCACAGTAACTAAAGTTTATAGAAATCCAGTTCCCGTTTCTTATTAAAATTTTATAAGCATTTAAAATATTCACTTGGATGCTGTGTGTTTTCTTTTGTATCCCAGCTGAGCTTCTTTCCCACCCTTTGGCCTGGAGCCTGGCTGATTTTCCTCCATCGCTTTATTCATTTAGAATAATTTTTCTTTTTACTAGTAAGTAAAGAACTAATTCTGTTCATTAAACCAGTGACCTTTGAATTTCCTAACATGGTTTGCCTCCTAAACTGGAGCCAATCCTCGACAGCACTTTGGGTGATGGATACACACACACTCTGTGCCCAGGACGTATGTTTCTCCCTGACTTAGCGGGATGCTCTGCATTAGAGGACAGGGTCCCTCCAAATCACAACTGAAACCCACCACAGCTGGGTGGATTTCCTGACCCACAAGAAGCTTACCTCTCCCTCTCCCGGCTTTAAAACTGATATCAACACCCTCTCCATCCCAGCCCCCACTCATCACTCTCTAGATCCTTATCCTAAGAGAATCTAATCCCAACTGGCCTGAACATCTTGTAAATCCCTAGAGGCTCTCAAAGGCCTGACTGACTTCTCAAGGAATCTTATTTAGATTCCCAGGCCTCACCTCCCACAGACTACAACTCAGTAGGCGTTAGTAGAATACATGAATCTGCATTTTAAACAAACTTCTACCTCCACCCCAACCAGGTAAAAGGTCCCGAGAACTCACTTTGACAAACCAGTGACCTTCAAGAGTATGCGTCACAGTGGCTTCTGATCAACACCGTGTTCATTCATTTAATCAACAGTGATCTGCCATGTGTAGGATGTTACTCAAAGGGCAGGTAAATTTCACATGGACCCTGGCCCACAAGAAACTTTCCATCTAGCAGGGGAAATGAAACACAAACATAAATAACCACTCAAAGGGAGTAAGAGATTTGCCATGGGAGAGGAAACAAGTTCTGAAGAGGAAGAGGTAACATGGAGCT